GGCGGGGAGCAGCAGCTCATTTGCATTTAAAGAGACAGGCATGAAAAACAACGCGTTTCTGCTTCCACTCAAAATTCAAAATTTCAAAATGATATAATAAACGATCTGTGGGGTTTTTGAGCTGAAACTTCACAGACACATTCTGGGGACACCAGAGACTTATATTATTACATATTGTAAAAAGGGGCATAATATGTCTCCTTTAAGACTTTTTAAGGTGTTTTATTAGGAAAATGTTAATTAAGACATTTTAAGGACCCGCGGACACCCTGTTTTTGTTTAACTAATTTATATTTAATTCCACAAACTCCTTGCAGTTCTATCACAAACTTCCATGGTGTTTTCTAATCACCGGTTGGGAAATTCCTGATTGTGATGTTGTACACATATACTGCATTTCTGTATAGAGACTAGGGCTGGGTATCGTTCAACACTTTTCGATATCGATACCGATACCTTGACTTCGATACCGGTTCCTGAACGATACTTTTTTCGATACCAATTTTATGAAATCAATTTTAACAAGATTACATTATCTAAAAAACTTTGGTTTTATTTTTCAGCTTGTTGATGTTTATACAAACTCAAAGACTCATCTCCTGAGCCACTGCACAAAGGAACAAAATGTAACCAACACAATAAATCAGTGCAAAATAGTTTTAATAAAGCTCAAATAGTCTTCAGTTTACACATCTGTTAGGCTACATTTACACTAGTTAGTGTTCGTTTTAAAATGCATAGCTCAGACAGAATCATGATTTCTATTTATTTTCCACTGATTTACTGATGAGCATTAGCAGCTTCCAGCGCTGTCTGCTTGTGTTCTCTCTTCCATGATCACTGCTCTGACTCGGAGGTAATAACATATTTAATTTCAGCAACATTACATGGCCAAAACACACATTAGATGGCAGGTCCGGATTTACCTATTTTCGTGACGTAGAAAAAATTTTTTGGGGCCCCCTTCCCTATTAATATAATAGACTTAATATTATCACCCAAGCAAACAAAAATATCTCTTAATCAGTGGAAACCGATACAGTGTTTTCTATCAGAATAAGCGCTTGCGTTCAGTCAATAAAAATCGAATAGTTCTTAATTTGTTTGAGAACTGAGAAAGACCATACCATATAGTCGTGGCCACATAACCACCTCCGGGAGTGACAGATTATATCTAATCTCCATCCCCACCGAAAAAAAAGGTTAAAATCTGCAGTCTGGGAATACTTAGGATATAAAAAACCTACATAAAAAAGGTGGAAGACATGGAAATAGTTTGTCATTTTTTACCCTATCGTTTGTTATATTTATTTGCTCAATGTCTTGAGCAATACGTAAATCCGGCCCTGTTAGACGGCAATCGGAATTTATTACAAACACTCGATGGTGGTTTAAAGTGAGTTTTGAGTAAAACGGAATATAAATCTTATTTATTGTCTTATGTAGCATGATGCTACAGTTTGCATGAATGGTCACATAACACGCGCATTCGGTGGTGTAACGTTAGTATGAACGGACATCTGCATATGATCGGAGCTCCACGCAGCTCCCGCGCAACTCTATTCTGGTGGTATTACAGTACCACGAGAGCTAAAGAGAGCAGACTGCTCCGTACGCTTTCGAATCACTCTCGTGGATGATCGATCTGCGCCGCGCCTCTAGTCGAACACACCGGCAAGTGCTGCAGGCTTATTGGCTCACTGACGCTGATGAGATTAACCCCTTAGGTATCGAAATTTGGTACCGAACGACAAGATGTTTTTCGATACTCGATGGTATCGAGGCAATTCGGTCGATGCCTAAAAAGTATCAAACTCGATACCCAGCCCTAATAGAGACTTCATCAGCTTTGCTTTGTTTAATATGTCTTGAGACTGACCTCTGAATCCCAGGGAGATTCGTCATTTTCATCTTCCTTTTCAAGTCCCAATTCTAAAAGGAAATCTGGAAAAACATGCAAAGAATGTTATATGGTCATGTAATACATTATATATATGGTCACTACATGCCACAAATTTGAAGTAAAAAATAATCCTTCAAACCATAAAGGATGAAAATGTACCTCTTCGCTTTTCCTTGCTAGCACCACCATTTTGAGAATCTTTAGCCTTTTCACACATTTCCTCTGGTTCTTCCCTCTCATCCTCTTCTTCCTCATCCTCTGTTGAGGCTTGTTCCTATTCAAAGAAGATGAGTTGCAAACCAGTTTAAACGGCAAGCATTTTACACTCAAACCAGAATAAACTGTTGGCATAGAAGTGGTGTACTTCAACGATAAATAAAAGAATAAAAGACACAAAACAAGTGGGATGAGCAAGAACACATTTCTCAGGACTGCATCTTCAGTGTTTGTCCGCTATCCATAGCTACCACATCTAGAAGCTATAACTACAAGCCACAAGTCAACACCTATCCACACAAGCTATGGCTATTCTAGCCATCGTCTCCTGAGTACCTGCAATGATCCTTGCTTAGAACATCTTTCTTCCTTTACAGATGTATTAACAGTGTTCTGTTCATGCAACTTCTCAAGTTCTTCCCCACCATCCTCTTTGTCAGAATCAGAAGTGAGATTAACTTCATCTATGATGGTGTAGAGAATTTCTTCCTGAAGAGTAGTTTCTGGTTCAAGCACCTCTGTTGGACGTTCATCTGCTAACTCTACCGAAAGGTCATCCTCAACTTGAGAGTTATGGCTTGAATGTTGAGGAGATTCTGGATTTGTAGATTTATTAATGTCCTGTGAGTCTTGATCCAGATGGATAAACGTTGAAGGCAATGGACTACAATGTTGGGGACATGGCGAGTGGCTTGAGGAACTTGAGTTTTGTGGACTAGTTGCTGTTGAATGTTGATGGCTAGGTACAGTAGATTGCCTTGGACTTGATGTGTGTTTGGGACTAGGACTTGTTGGGGATTTTGGACTTGTTGGAACTGGGCTCATTGCATTTAAATATTTGGGGCTATTTGAGAGAGATCTCATCAGCAATGGTTTTTCCATTTGTGCTGGACTTGATGTGGTGGAATGTTTTGGGCAACTATTGAAGAGATTTGAAGTGTGTGGTTGATCTGCATCATCAATACATCCATCATCTTCTTCCAACATAGATTCATTGTCAGAGACATCAGAGATCTGATCTATTCCAGAAGACTTGACCGAGCCACTTGCAAAGTCATACTGCATTTGCTTCACTTGGCTGTCGTCCTCTTGACTTATACTCTGGTCTTCATCACTTTGACCAACAATCATGGACACTTGTATAGTTTCATTCTCATCACTCTGATCGATGCACCCAGGTTCTTCATGTAAAGGACTCTGGGAAAGGTGCTCAGTAGGTTCTTCATGTAAAGGACTCTGGGAAAGGTGGCCAGAAGGTTCTTCATGTAAAGGACACTGGGAAAGGTGCTTAGTTGGTTCTTCATGTAAAGGACTCTGGGAAAGGTGCCCAGTAGGTTCTTCATGTAAAGGACTCTGGGAAAGGTGCTCAGTAGGTTCTTCATTTAAAGGACTCTGGGAAAGGTGCCCAGTAGGTTCTTCATGTAAAGGACTCTGGGAAAGGTGCTCAATAGGTTCTTCATGTAAAAGACTCTGGGAAAGGTGCTTAATAGGTTGTAACAATGCCCTTTTTGAAGTGTTGTCATCCTGAACCAAAGCCTCTTGATGATGGTCTTTTTCTGCACTTGGCATCTCCATGTTTGATTCCTTATCTCCTTCAGGTGTCCCATCACTTTTGTCTGAGCCAGACTCCCAAGATACCTCAGGGCTCTCTGGTTCCTTCTGTCCCAGCAATGTCAGAAATAGGTTCAGTGGCTTCTTCGTTTGCACTTCTTCTTCCTCGTCAACGCCATCCCAATCATCTTCATCATCATCTGCAGTAGTTAAAGCCTTTGATTTAGGTGATGCTGAAGGAGCATCCAGATTGCTGGTGTCAAGATCAGCTATTCCTTCATTTTGTCTAAGTTGAACAACATCAGTTTCATCTTGAAGTTGTGGATCACATTCAATGGTTGTCCCTTGAGAGGGCTCCACTTCTAAAATGTTCTTCTCAGCCTTCAACAGCTCCTCATCTTCATCATCATCTTCATCATCATCCCAATCATCATCATCACTTTGGTTTTCATTCTTGCTCTCAATTGGATTTCTGTTTGATGTTCTGTCCACACTTGGTAAAGAAGTTTCACATTCTACAGGAGAACTTGGACTATCACTGGCCTCCTCGTTGTCCTCCTCATCAGAGAATCTTGCCTCGACTCTGACAGCTGACACAAGACAGCCATCCTCTAAATCAAGAATCCCTGTAATTGGACCTCCAACAAGTGCCTTTTCAGGAATTGTTTCTTTCATGTCCATTTTATCTGGAGCATCTTTTTCTTGATCTGTCTTTACCTTCAGAGGACTGTCTCCTGATACTCTATCCTCCATCATGTCCCACTTAGGTTGGTTGACATTTTCATCAGTCATATCTGATTGTTCTTTTTTACCAAGAGCCATGGTTTTGGGCAGCCCAGAAATGCCTGTTGTCTCACAAGCCACAGCAGCTTCCTCTTCTTCTTCATCATCTTCTTCACCATCTTCATTTTCATCTTTATCATCGCTGTCATCATCATCATCCTCATCTTCTCCTTCCTCTTCCTCCTCCTCCTCCTCCTCCTCTTCTTCACCATCATCGTCATCCTCACCTTCATCATCCTCACTTTCAGCATCTTCATCTTCAGATTCGTCCTCTGGACTTTCGTTGCCTTCCAAATCTAGTTTGCTACCAGAAGGCAGCTCTGAACCATAATGGCAGGGTGGATTGGGTTGAATAAAAACAATAAAGAAGTGAAGAGTTAGACAATGTACCACACAGAGGCACAGTGAGGGTTACCTTAAGGGTGCTGCTGAAGGGGGTGGAGCTCATCTGGGGTGGGTGGGGTAAAGAGGCAGGTGGGGTTGCTACAGGGGGTTGGAGGGAGGTGCTGCTGGAGGGGAATGGTCTAGATAGTGGTGGGCAGATTGTACCCTTATCCTCACTGTCCGGTTCAGACTCTGATCTGCTCCAGGATTTGTCTGCATTTCGATCTGCTATGACTACAGACAGACACAGCATATCACAATGCTCAATGGACCCTTTTACATTTTTTAAATTGTTGATTTTAAATGTAACAAGCTTAGCCAAATATTTTAAACATATTATATCTTTCTCCATTCAAGTGGACAATAGCAGTGTTTGCTTGCCTATTATCCTTACCAAGATGGCAACCTAATGGCCTTGCCTTAAATGAATAGTTCACCCAAAAATGAAAATTCAGTCATTAATTATTTACCCTCATGTCGTTTCAAACCTGTAAGACCTTCGTTCATCTTCGGAACACAAATTAAGATATTTTTGATGGAATCTGAGAGCTGTCTGACCCTGCATAGACAGCAATTCAACTGAAATGTTCCCAAGTCCACAGACATAGCAAAGAGATCAGTAAAATAATCCATGTGACATCAGGGGTTCAACCATAATTGTACGAAGCTACGAGAATACTTTTTGTGTGCAAAAAAAAACGACTTTATTCAACAATTCGTCTCCTCCGCCGGATCAGTTTCCTACGTTGTTGTGATTTGATCTGAACGAAAACAGCGTATCCGTGTGACGCAGCTGACACAGAACAGCATACGCTGTTTTCGTCCAGCGGATATTCTCCAAAATGGTGCTACAGTGACGCGGAGGAGACGAATTGTTGAATAAAGTCTTTTTTTTTTTTTTTTTTGCCCAAAAAAAGAATTCTCATACCTTCG